TGTGTGTGTGTGTGTGTGTGTGTGTGTGTGTGTGTGTGTGTGTGTGTAATGATTGTGCTGTCTCTTTAAGAGACAAGCCACACCCACTCCCTCCCCAATCCTCCAAGACAGGCTGATCTTCAGCTTGAGGCCAGAGCTCTCTGTCTTTTCTGTCTTCCTCTGGGAGAGGCAGCTTTGCTTCTGCCTCTCTCCCCACTTCTCTGCTTCCCCCTTCTCTGTCTCTCTTTCCTCTTCTCCTCTCTCTCTCCTCTTTCCCCTTTACTCTCCATAATCCCCTGAATAAATATTCAACCTCATTGTGCATGTCGTGCCTATCCATGTCTGTCTCTTGCCCGCCTGCCACATGTCTCCCTGCCTGGGACCAGTCACCACTCAGGAGGCAGCTGTCTCTGCCTGGGACTGGCTGCTCCCAGGGCCCCCACTGCCTGCTGCCACATGGCCCACTACCACTGTTTGGGGACCTACAGCATTTCTGCTGCCTACTGCTGTCGGGGATCCTGCAGCATTTTAATTTTTCCATTACATCGTGCAACATATATAAACTAATAAATGCAATCAACAATATTAACAAATGCAGAAAAGGCCTTTGACAAAATCCAATATCCCTCATGAAGAAATGAGGGATACAAGAGACACACTTCAGCATGTTAACGGCAGTTTACAGCCACCCCACAACCAGCATCAGTCTAAATGGGGAGACTCAAAGCAATCCCACTCAAATCTATTTTCACTAATGAAAAGTAATAAAAAAGTCTTTTCTTCACTCTGGTAAATTTCACAAAATTTCGTTCCCACCCTTAGACTCAATCTTTATATAGTCAAGATACCAAGACTGTGTCCGTCCATCAGGGGCCTATGCTCATTTAATACCAGCTTCACCACTGTTCCCCAAGCTGTGGCTCTTAACCCCTTTCCTGTGCATCTATCTGCTGTAGAGAATCAAACAGAAAAAGTGAGGCTGAAGAGGGGGGGTGATGAGTTGCAGGGACAGCTTTCTATGGAAAATAAGACTAGGTAACGATCACAAACTTGCCTCACAAATATTACCTCTAGATTTCTTCCTGATGCAATGGTTGAAAGCAGGAAAAAAAACAGATTGAGATACTGGATAAACTTCAAATACTAAAGTCTTCAAGTTCTGGATATCCAGTCTAATTCACAAGGTTTAGACTAAGTGTCTGGAGAACCAGCAGGATTCTGGTTATAACTGCTGTGTAAAGACAATCCCGGCCCAGAATCTCAGGGTTCAGCTCACGCATTCCTGGCTCCTCTTTCTACCTAACTTCATTCATATTTGAAAATGTTTAGGTGCTAGGGATACTGTGGAATCCAACAATAACAGAAAACAGCGGAGCATGCAATGGCTGAGGGTGAAGCTATCAAGGATCCCCAGAGTACATTGTCCTCTAGAACACCTGAGACCTTTGAACCACTTGACTGGAAACAGGTTAGAATGGCCCTCCTCCCAGGTCCTATCAGATGATGAACAAGACCAAGCTATCCGGGGACTTAATTAACTGGGTTCCTAAAGGAGAGGAAGGGAAGCAGGGATACTGACTCTGAAGGGAAGGAGACCTGGAGTCTGATGTGACAAGTCCTTTCTTTCGACTTGGCCACGGGACCTACTGTGTGGTCAGTGTGAGGATTCAAAGGCGTCTTGAGGAGGTTTCTGGCGCTCACTGGCTTTCAGGAGAGGACATGGAGCATTTGGCACAGGACAGCACATTAGAACATGGGGAGACAAGGAGGAGATCCAGGTATTCTATGCCCACACCTGATTTCTGCTGTGTGAATAATTGCTTTCATGAGTGAGGATCCTGATGTGGACAAAAGAACCCTGGAAAGCGGCCAGCTTTCCTATCAAGCATGCTGCCTGGGTTTCACAGAAAACAGATCTCAATACTGCCAAATTTTAAGACAGAGCACATTAAACAAATGACGCAGTTACCACTTAATTTCTTGCAGAAATATTGTACCTCAAAGCAGAAAACTTACAAGTAGTTTGGTTTTGTAGCTTTAATAGCTTGTACTGAGAAGAAATGATACATAAAAACTCAAAATATGAGAATTAAAGTCCTTTATGTTTAATCACTCCTGTAGGGAACAAAGAAAGCTGTGTGTGTGTGTGTGTGTGTGTGTGTGTGTGTGTGTGTGTGTGTGAGAGAGAGAGAGAGAGAGAGAGAGAGAGAGAGAGAGAGCGCGAGAGAGAGCAGGGGTCAGGGAATCATGGGAAAAGCTGGAATGAGG